TTAAACTTATGAGGTGATATAGGTTTAAAATAGAACCGAAATTTTCAGAAACCATGAGAAACAAAAAGGTCATGGTGCTTCACCTAATCTGTCTCTGGCCAAATCTCTGACGATGTTGGAGGAATGCAAAGGACCAAAATGAAAAGCTCGGTGTCCAAAACTGATCTTCCGATTGTGCGCTTTCGGTCATATTCAAGCCCATAAAGTTAAACTTTCCAGTTCCCTCTATTGCACTAACTTCGATGGCAGCCTAATCCTATGTCTTTAATTCTTGCAACGTCCTCTCGACGTGTCTCCTTGTCAAAAGCTTGCGGAAGATTCTGGTCCAGTTTTGGGCCACAATCGGTCTCGCCATCCACCACCAAATTGCAAGGTAACTTCAACTTTTGATCCATTGCAAACACGTCATGTTAAGACAACAATGAAAAGTAGCCATCCCTTCAATATAATAATTAAAATTATTAAAATTCGATTTTTTTTTATAAAAAAAATTAAATATATTACCTTTAAATTATGCCTTTCACGTATTTATTTATTTATTTTACCTTAGCCAAAAACATTTCCCATTCTGTTTTTTTTTCTTCTTCTTCTTCATATGTTTAAGAATGTCAAGAGAGGTCTAGTGGCCATGCCCCCAATTTTTTTTTTTTTTTTTTCCAGTGGAGTAAGTGGTTGATCCGAGGATTCTAAATCATAAGGAAGCAAAACTCCTTGAAATTGCTATACATCCAACAGCTGAAAGGCATCATTAATAACTCAAAAACGAATTAATAACACAACAAAATATAAATTACTTTGTTTAAATTTAGTAAATTTGTTTTCAAGAACTCAAATGTTTGTTCTCAAGAAAAAAAAAAGAATCAAGCATAAGTAAAGAAAAACTAGAGGATAGGATATTTTATTAGAGTGGATGCAAAATTCTCGAGAAATCACTCATTATATATAAAAAAAATAGTACCTCATGCTATTCTCTTGCATATCAAATTTTTGAAAAAGGGAAGTTGAAAAAGAAATACTTGAAACGTAGGGTGCATAAGATCAACACGCCATGATAAAAGGTCTACGACAAGATAGAGACCTGATTAGTCTAGGTTAATTGTCTGTTTCTCTTGCATTAATCCTTGAAGTGGCTAGCTTATTATGATAAATAATTCCCTTCTATCACATCACCTTTATATGAAACCTTAATTCCAGAAGACAATGAGAAGGTGACACTATCGTTCCTCATGTGTTGGTTACTTACGAAAAAATCTTGTCCACACAGTACAGCATATGCAATTCTTTAAGCTCATATATTTCTGCGTAGGGAAATGGCAATGTTTTTCTTAGTTTTGGTCAATGAAAGAAGAATACAATAGACAAAACCTCCAATTTACAGAAAGAGCTAGAGAGCAAATAGACCCTATCTGTTTAAGAAAGAGAGTCTCAATTCTCAATGATTGTAAACAACTTCCCTAGCAGCTCCAACAACACTTGAAATTTGCATTAGAAATTCCTGCCCCAACAGGAGCTTCTCTAATCTGTTTCACAGTAAGACCGGCAACATTCTATTCCTAGAGAACGGTATTGTTGTCTTACATCCTGTCCTGGAAACTGCAATCCAAATTGAGTCAATGATCCACCCCAGAATCTATCCCGAAGCAAACCAAACATCCCCTTCTAGCATCAGTGTTGCGTTTCAAGGTTTTAAAATCCCACATCGGAAAGTAATGGAAACACGCATCGAGACGTAGGGTCTAAAAAGCGAAATGCCAGACGTCAAAGCTCACACCTTTTTCGGCCTTTTGGCTAAGATAAAGTGTGGTATTGTGCTTATCAGTTTGATATCTGATATGTGGGCCAATAGTCCACGGGATATTAAATATATGTTTTAAGGAGTAGGGTCCATTACGGTAGCTTGCTGCTGGGGTTCTCGCGTGTAGTCTTTGCGTTGCACTACTGAATTGGCCTGGCCCACCCCTCCAATTCTAGTTCAAAGTTTTTCTTAATTTCGAATCTTTCGTTGTCGCGTACGTAGAATTCATTCTAATGTTGTAAATCAATTTGGATCGATTTGAGTTATTTCGATTGGAAATTGTTCCATTAAGAATATATTTTGAAGAGAACTTCTCAAAAATTTTAGTGATTAGGAATTTTAGGCTAGAGCTGTATTTTTTCATTTATTTATGTATTTTGAAACCTAATATTTGTCTCTTTTTTTTTTTAATAAGTTATGATGCCTTTTTCAGATGAACCAAGCAGTTGCAAACAAGTGCATCACCATGCACTGAAGTTGTTTGTCACCTATGCACCGTTTGTGATGCATCATGAAGACAAGTTTATGATCCAAACCCAAAGCAAAGTCCGGTCTTAAGCTCAGAACCCTAGTGCCAATTCCAAGTTACCCAATACATCTGAGATCCAGCCGACAAAAAAATCTCCGCATGAGGCAGAACCCGACAATGAAGAGGTGGCCTGTGCTTCTTTCAACGTTTCTCGACATGTCTTCTTTGTCAAAAGTATGCTGAAGATTCTCGTCCATCCCCGTCCTTTTTGGGCCACGATTGGTCTCATCATTCCTGCACAAAATTTGCAAGAACTAGAGGATCGGGGATTTATTGGTAGGGAATACAAAATTCTCGAGAAATTATCCACTAAATCCGAAAATAATGTGTCGATTTTATGAATAATTTTAATGATGGATTCTAATAAATATGAGTATTGGGCTAAGATGAATAGCACATCAAATACTTTACTTGAAAGGGAAGTAGAAAAAGAAAATACTTGAAAAGCAGGTTGGATAAGACGAACTTTGCTATGATAAGACCTATGACGAGGCTGAGATCAGATTATTCCGGGTCAGTTGTCTATTTTCTTAAATTCATCCGTGAAGTTTCTGGCTAATTCTGGGAAATAATTCACTTCTATCACATCACATCTTTATGAATCTTTAATTCTGAGACAATCAGAAGGTGACATCGTCCATCTTTCATGCGTTCTTTTCTTACGAAATATCTTGTCCCCACAGTACTGCACTTGCCAGTCTTTAAGCTGATAAATTTGTGCCTATGGAAATGAGAAAGTACACAAAAGGCAAAACCCACAATTTACAGATTACATCGAGAAAAGATCAGCAGCAGTATTGAATGCATAAAGATGAGCCTTACAGTTTCGTCACGGTTAAAGAATTTGCTCTAGCATTTCAGTCATTCCATGCGGGACAAAGAGTTAGAGACGAGCTGTCAACTCCATTTGAAAAGGCCAAGAGCTATCCAGCTGATTTTACATGGGTGATTGAGTGTCTATTATCCTGTTTCTTGGTATGCCAGAGATTTCCTTGACCATTGTACGTCAACCTTGTGTTTTACAAGCCAAGGAACCTCCTATTCTATCATTCATGGCATTTTCTCTTCCTCCATGGATCCTTAAGATCCTTAACATACTCGTACAAACTGCTATTTGGGTGTGCCTTACACGTTATATAGGAGGTTACGATCTTAATGTTGGAAGGTAGGAAGAACTGTGAATTTGAAAAATTAAAATTAAAATGGCTAAATTGGTCAGAACTTCTCTTGAACTTTGAATCATTTGAGAATCAATCTTCCAATTTCTAATTTTGGATGGGATCAAATTTTAGTTGGATTCTTGGCCATCTTCGACAAATTTTGCAACTCAGAGAACAAGTTGGGAGTAAAAATTCATCTTAAATACTCAGTTGACCGATCGATTCAAACTCCAACTTTTCCATTATTTCTTCCCTTTTTTCCTTTCGTTATAGGCTGCTGATTCAAATTCCAGAGATTTGTACGTCTTTTTTTTCCTGAAAAATCTATTGAACAAGAAAAGCAGGCTATCCATTTTAAATTTTAGAAATTTGAATGATATTATTGTCTTACATCCTTTCGTGCAAACTGCAGAATCTATGCCAAGGGAAAGCAAACACCCCCTTGCTTTTGATTTGAGAAACCAGAGAGGCTAATAATTTCTAGCAGCTAAGTTGTGTTTCATGGTTTTAATATCCCACATCGGGATGTATTGAAGATAGGCGCATAGAGGCAGGAAATAAAAAGCGAAATGCAAGACTTAATAGTTCATACCTTTCTCGGCCTTTTGGCTAAGATCAAGTGTAGTATCTGTTCTTATCAGTTTAATATCTGATATGTGGGCCAACGGTCCACACGATATTAAATATGTTTTTCAAGAGAGAGGGCCCATTGTAGTGGCTCGCTGCTGGGGTCTTCGAACGTAGCCTTTGCGTTGCACTGCTGCATTGGCCTGGCGCACCCCTCCAATTCAAGTTCAAGCTTTACGAATAATTCTTTTATGTGAATTAAATAAATTTTACTTTGGGATTTTTTATGGTAAAGTAAACGATTTTTTATTTGAAATTTGGTTAGACATGATTAGGTAAAATTCTGACTTGGATTCTGTAGATTTCAGTATGACTGAACATTATTAACAAAAACTTGTGAGAAACAAATTCTTAAAGTTTAGCAATTAGATAATTCAAGCTTTGAGTTATAGTTTTTATTTGTTTTATGCATTTTTAAAACTTACGAGCTTGAAATTCTGTACTCTATAGCCAATTGTGGTGATCTGTTTTTCTTCCCTCCAAAATTTGGCGTTGGGTAAAAATGGAGTAACTATGATAATTCAACAATTTTTCAGATCTAGCCCACAAAAAATCTGAACATGAGGCAGATACCTGGTACCAGCTATGTCAAAATTTCCTTGGAACTAGAAGTCTACAACCTCTGACAAGCATTAGATGTGTTATGCCATCTCTCTCCCTCCACCCCATGATACCTTAGCAGAGAAATGATCCTGCTGGGAAGCATTGCATCGCAGCATCTATTTATTTGCTACAATAGTGTGTGAAAAAGAACCATCTTGGCATTAGAAAACAAAAACAGAATCACTACAGAAATAAAGGTCCATGACACCCTTCACCATCATTCGTGATTCATAACAATTACAGAACTAAATCCCTAGTCAATTCCAATTTCTCACGGGAAAAGCCTTCAGTAAAGATCACCTTCCTTGTGAGTGTGAATCACACAGTCGGCAGTTGGATAGGAAATGCAAGTCAGAAGATAACCCTCCTTCATTTGATTCTCATCAAGGAATGAACCGTCAGACTGGTCGACAGAACCTGATTCCACTTTGCCAGCACAGGTAGAACAAGCCCCAGCCCTGCAAGAATAAGGCAACTCAACTCCTGCATTCTCGGCTGCATCTAGGATGTATGTGTCATCTGGAGCTTCAAATTCATGCTCTTCGCCTTCTGGTGTAATCAATTTAACCTTGTACACTGCCATTGAGGCTTTGTAATTGGGGGAGCATTTCAAGCCAAAAGACTTGGAGACACTCTTTACTGATCCCAGTGAGGATGGGCACTTAACGATGGTGCTGGTAAACCGATTTTGGGGTGCAGCTTTGAGCAGGCTTTGGGAGGGAACATTCACTGTTGTCATCTTTACTCCTGAATGCAAAATAGAAATTGTCAACTTGTAAAGTGCAGGACGAGGGACCAAATTCCATTTTATAAAAATACCATTTTTCAATCATTCACTGGACATGTTACACAGCAACCATATCATTAGAGGTTTTTATATTTGTATAGAACCACAACAAATGAAGCACAATACATGCAATGAATCAAACATGCCAAGGAGGATGCAGCATTCTCAATAGGCAAAGCAACATAGATCAGAATCCAAAAGTACCAAGCAAGGAAATCCTAAAAATGAGCAAAAGAAGGCTCCCTTCTCCTAGTCCAGGGATTCGTAAACATCCTCATGCATAGGATTAGATCATCTTTAAATCCAACAGGGTAGCATTGTATGCCTCACTTTTATTCACAGCATGGAACCAAATCATCCATTCCTACAATAAGAAGGCAATTGATGTTTGGAGCACTATGAGAAGAGCAAGCGAATGGCTCTCCGCTCTTCACTCGAGGCTCCATCTTACAAAAAGAGAAAATAAAGGAAGTAAAAAACCAAGATCAAGCTTCTCTCTCTTGGGAAGAAAGAGAAATAATAGCACTCTTGTCAATCGAAGTTCATAAAATTAGTTTGCACTCTGATTGCTAAACGCTGATTGCTAAACAAGTTAAGCAGTAAAAATAAAAAAAAACTAGAAGAGTCTTAATATCACAGGCAACCTAGAAATAAAAACATTCCCAGCTTAATATGAATACGATCATAATTCATGGCAAACTCCAGAAAACACAGGAACAAAACACAAAAATTAGTTCCACAACAACGCCGCAAGATCAGCAAGTGAGATGGTTCCTTTTCCTTGCAAACTAGGAAGAAGATTTTTTATTTTTTATTTTTTTTAAGACTAGAGCTTTCACAACCCAAAGAATCTCTAGTCACTGAGGTGAGGCGCAGAGAAATATGAACACTATTTTAACAAATTGATTGACCCCTCACACTACTGATGTCATACTTCAAATCTCAGTTTCTCAAGTGTCCTTTTCTTTCCAAAATGTCACAAATTTCAAGACTAAACCCCACATCCTAGACCTAGCTAGTTAAGAATCAAGAGAATGCCTCGAAAAAAAAAGCCATAAAAAAAATCCATGGCCTATAATATCATGTTGTTTTCAATAACTTCTCTTTTCCTTGAAGCACAATATTAGAAAACAAAAACGAAAAACATGAGCCACAAATTTGATTAAAGATGCAACCTTGTTTCGTTCTTGTCGACTAAAGCAAGATATGGAAGAGAGAGACAAGCCCACACTTTCCGAAAGACACACATGTTTTATATACCCCACAAATTAAATTCAATGGAATCAAGAACTACATCACATCAAATTAAAATAGCCAAAGAAAACAACATAAACTATAAAAGAATTAAAACCACCGAAAAAGAATCTTAACACTAAAGAGAAAAGAGAGCTTACTTTGGTGGGGTTGTGAGAATTCTTCAAATGAGGCGGAGAATACGATGTTGGATAGAAGGGGATGGGTGGCGGAGGAGAAGGGGGTGGTGGTGGTGGTATTTATATTAGTTGAAGAGGTGCTGAAGGTGGCTTTTGGGGTCTTTGAAAGGGAAGAGGCGGCTCTAAAAGCAAAAGACGGATGCCCCAAGTGCTACCATCACGGGCCAAACACTGATCCTCATTCTAATAACCTAGTTTGGTTGGAGCCAGCCACTAATTAGTATTCAACCAGCACCAATCTACCTAATTAGCAGATTCTAATTGATTTTTTTTTAACACATTCAAATAATGTTTTTAACTTTCCATTAATGATTCTATTTTATTTTGGGATGACTACAAAAAAGCCCCCGATCTATTATATGTTTACCAATATAGTCCCCAACATATTGGTTTTTTTTTGGAACAAGCTCAAAATATTCTAGTTTCAATAAACTAGTCACCACCATTTGCATATGTTAAAACAACGTGAAATACCTTGCGAGAAGCATGTGAATAAAATAGAATTAATTCACTCAAAGAAATCAAGAGATGGTAGAAGATTACAAAACAAAACTATTATTTGAAAAACCTAACATCATATCATACACACATTATATTGGTTTCTTTGTTGCCTAAATTGTGAATTTCTAAAAATGAATTCATTCTGCTGAGTTTACAAGGTGCTTAGCGTTTGTTTTAACATATCCATTTGTGAAAATTAGAATAGGTTAAATGTGTTTTTAAAAAATCAATAAGTTAGGGATTCATTTGTAAAACACACAATAGTTTGAGAACTTATTTGTGTTTATCCCTTTTATTTTTCATGTAATAATTCTTTTATTTTTAAGAATAAAGAATGCCATCGAATCAGATTCAACATTCTATTAAAAAAAAAAAAAAACTTTTCTTTTCTAGTATCGGTACAATGTCTAAGATGATTGAATTTGAGTACACTAACAAATTTAACGGTAAAAATATGATTACTTTTCAATTTTATACTTTATATTCGTGTTTGCAACATAATTAAATGATAAGTACACTATATACGGTCCACGAATGTTGCCTTTTAGGACCAAAGACAGTAGCCCTGTGGGAACTTTTCTGCCTTTGAAAAACTGTACCAACCAATGTCAGCTTTCACTATTTCTTCATGCATTTGATAGTTGCAGCTTTCCTTGGTTCCTAGGATGAATCTAGGTGTTCAGGACACACGTAGAAGCAAACCAAGTGTCAAGGCCACCGACTTCAAACATTTAACTGAGTGTTCGACAAAATTCAGGATGCACTTTTCAATACTGAAAGTGCAACAACCTTCCCAATGACGACCAATGTTGGTGAAACTAACGTTGCTAATGCAACTTCATCTGCAGGATCCTTCAGTTCTGAAAAGACCTGAATGATTGCAAATGCAAATATTATCAATTCAAAGCAATGTTGTCACTTCTAATGGGCAAGCTTCTTATGCATGTATAGATCCTTGTAAAGAATGAAAGAACATCAAAATCAATCCATTCTATTCTTTTTACAAACTATGTGAAGGAAACGAAAATTGGTGTTTCAGTTTCGTTTCTGGTTTCCTGCAAGGTGCTTCCAATTCATGATTATCAAATTATACTCACCAAGTGCTGCTGGGGTGTTGTTCCTCGTTCAAGCAGCTGGCATATTTGCTCGTAGACCATTTTGCATCAACTTCAATGCAAGGGAGTTGAGGGTTGACATTTGACACGCTAGCCTATACAAACTACCAAGGTTGAATCAGGATCAACTGTATTTTCTGCTACAAAGAGGGCATCTGTTCCTCCTTCCATTAAATTTCTTGTTCGAAATCTAACAGTCTGGCTGTACCTCGGTGAGGAAATGGAATCTCCAGCTCTGCTGCAACCAATCACACTGTCATAGTGTCATCCATACTGTGACCAGAAAAGCATCAAGCTTGAAGAAGAACTGCAAAATCGGCAACCAAAGGGGAAAAAGAATGCAACCTCATTCTATCAGGAGATGTGAAGAATCATCCCAGGAATAACATTAACTTGAATTCTTTGTTGTTGAAGAAAATCCATTTCCTCATCACCCCTTCCAAATACCTTTGGAACACAATGATATATGTCACCAAAAACTCAACTAGGAAATACATTATTGCATTCATTAGCTAACTTTTTAGATAAGAAACCCACCAGCAGATCGCCTCCTCTAAGCCTCGCATCAGAAGCTCTGCTTCAAAAAATTTCAAGAGCAATTCATGTATCTCCTCCCGCAAAAACCCCCCATGCCAGATTAATGAGCAGACTTGAACGAGTTCAGAAGGAGTTTTCCCCATTCACCTTTTCCAAACTCACATTTTTTGAAAGTGGCACCCTGATTTTTGGCCTCTTTGGCATCCAGTTCTTGCCTGCTAGTAACCCCATCTAAATAGGATCTCACCTCATGGCTTTGGAATCTGTCTGACAATGGTAGACACTTAAGCAGAACAGAATCCCAATTCCAAAAACCCAACAATCAGTACACCATCCCTGAAATCATGTGTACAAACAAGCATTTATGAAATCGATAATAAAGCTTACAAATCCAGCTAAAATACCAACAGAATCCTATATACTAATTGGAAAAAAAAAGATCAGAATTTTGGGACAAATTTGACATGAAAGTGACCCATATGGGAATTTCAGCTAAAATCAACAAACAATGAACAAATAACAAAAACCATAAGACCCCAATGAAGAAGAAGAAGATGTTTTTGTTTGCCTGACCGAGTTCTGCGATGGTACCGAGCACTCCTTTTGTTTTCTATTTATCTCAATGCTTCATGTCAAAAGCACAGGATTACCTGGTCCAAACCCTTCTTTCCATCGCCATCATTACGACAAGAAGGCTGCCTCTCTCTTTTTAAAGCACTTGAAGCAATTTCTTCAACTCTGGAAGCTTTAAAGCAGAGAGTTTGATTTGCTTTAATTCTCCAAAAGGCAAAACCAATCTAATAAACTCTCTCATTTTACAGGAAAAAATACCATATTTAACAATTTCACATATTATGAACAGTCTCCGATGCCGAGACCATGTTGGTTAATGGAATACCAGCTCTGCTCCAATTCCTGAAGCAGAGTCTTGCCTGCACAGGAATGAGCGGAGAAATCACATTGTTGAACATACCTTTAGAAAACAAAGCTGTATGTCACAAAAAGCTTAACCAGTAAACAAATCACATTGCATTCGTAATCTAACTTTAGTAACGTTTTGAATAAGAAACTTACCAGTGGATGACCTCTTTTAAGTCTCACAACTAGAACTCCTCCTTCAGCAAAACTCAAAAGCATTCAGGTGTCTCCACCTGCAAAAACCCCATGCTGGAAACATTAAACAATTTTTGAATGAACTCAAGAAGACTTTGCCCGCATAATCTTTTCCAAAACTCACATTTTCAAAAGTGGCACCCTGATTTTTAGGCTCCTTTGACATCTAGTTCTGACCTACCTATTTCAGCTAACCCATGAAAAAGCTGCTCTCACTTCATCCAGTGGGCTCTTACCTTTGTCCAACTAAAAACTAACAGAATCCTGTATGCCAATTAAAAGAAGGTTGGAATTTTAATGATTTACATAAACTATCATTAGCAAGAATTTCATAAATTCCTATGCACGAGCGATAAGATTTCAACATAGATTTATCCAGAATTACAAACCATGCCTTGAAGATGAAAACATACAACACTAGAATGCTTGCCTTGGCGAGTGCGGGAAATGGACCATGTTAAATGCCTTCAAGATACGGCTGCTTGCCTGTGATTCAAAATAGACAGGAAAAGCTAATAAGAAGGTAAACTTAAATGAAGTATTCTTGACCTCAAGGAGAATATCACAAACACATACCTGTAGTGTGAGCTATTGAAATTAAATGCAGGACACTGAGACCTTACCTTTGTTACGGGAACAGATCCTTCGTCTGCAATCTCTGTCCAAGATCAACCCAGTTTGCCAATTTCTACAAATGAAACAAAAGCCAAGCGAAGGAAAAGGAATAGAAACAATGATGAGACAGAGCTAAAAGATGGAAGGGAAGGAAGAGAGATTTCAAATATGAGATGAGTGAATTTAGTTAAAGACACTACTAGGACAGCCTAAATGTTTGGCCATGCTTTCTCTGATTGGATGTTAGGTAACACGACTTGAAAACTTTCAAGAATTAAGTGATTGAGCCAAAAATTGCCAGGAAGAAATTAGAGACCACAAATAAAAACAAAACTTGTTTGAATAACCAATTGCTAGATAAGATGTATGCAAGAAACAGAAACATACCACAGAAATAATTATAGCAGTTCATCATCGCAATGCTTCTCATCTAGTACAAGTTCAACAGCAAGGTTGCCACCTCCATTCACTGCATTCCTGTAATCAAAATTAAGGCATCTAAACACATTGTCCAGTATTCAGATTGTTACGTTATAAAGGATGTGAACTATCCAGGTGCATATTTACCTGATAGAGTATTGCCGTAAAGGACCATCTTCCACCATTATCTCCCACCCACACACCTTTGCTTTTTATTTAACTTTAGGGGTTGCCCTACAAAATTAGTTGTGCAATTAATGAATGCAATTAAATTTAACAGAGAGATCGATTTGAGAAATTCAAACTTACAGGTAGACAAATTTGGGATATGAGAAATCTTGGGCCACTCAGAGCCACGACCCTTGGCGCAATTTCTCTTAAGAAGCGGAGTGTCAGGACCAATATGCAGACTTGTTAATTTGGAGAGGCGTTGCATGGCTGTTGAACTTGGTAGATACTTCACTTTTGAACACCTTTCAATAGAAAGGCGTTGAAGAGAAGAAAGGCTTCCCAGCCAATCTGGCAATGCTTCCTCAAATTCCTCTCCATCGAAATACCTTATCTCCAATTTCTTAAGAGAAGTGAGGTGTTGAAGTTGATGTGGTATGCTCTTCAGTTTTTTCCATCCCCATATTTTTAGCTCTTCAAGGGACCCACTCAAGTGTTGGATTGAATTCATACCAGGAAACGCCTGCAATTTGTTTGAGAAACCACCAATTTCCAATCGCTTCAATTGGGTGAGGCTGCAAAAGAAATCCTCCGGAAGATACCTCAAACTCGGGCACATGATGTTTTGTAATCGAACAAGAGAATGCAATCTTCTCCTTCCAAGAGAAGGAAGAGACGGGAGCTTATCACAGTAACTAAATTGTAACGATTGAAGACGAGAAGATGGCAGCAATTCTCCTCCTCCTCCAAATACATCATCATCTTCATAATCATCCTCAAATACAGAAATACCCTTACTCCATCTGATTATCAATTCCTCTAGAGATGGGCAGGATAGTAGCCTCCTAATTGGAAGACTGATTGTTACTCTATCACAAGCACAAATGGTTACTCTTTTAAGAGACTGCAATTCACCAGCAAGACTAATAGGCACCAACTTAGGGCACTCATTAATATACAATTCCTCCAGGGCTGTACAGTGTTGCAGGCTTGGCACGGATGCCAGATTACCGCAATCACTAATGCTTAAATATTTAAGAGATGACGACGTGGAGGCATGAAATTCGCCAGATAACTCACTCAATTCATCACAACCACTGATATCCAATTTCACAAGTTTGGATGACAGATGAGTCATTGATGGAATGCTTTTCAAGTCATAACACTCCTTAATGTACAACTCTTCAAGGCAAGGAAATACTGCTTGGACTCCATCAGCTGCAGCAGCAGGTACCGTCCATTCCTCTAGACTCCACATATCCTTCAGAGACAGTCTTTTTAATGCTGGAAACAAAGTTATAGGCATTCTTGCATCCTCACTACTACTATAAAACTCATTGCCTATGCATCTTAACGGAACCATTCTTTCCATCTCAACAATTTCAAGACGAGGAAGATGACCAAGTGCTGGAATGCTTTTCAACTTCCAACACTCCTTAATGTACAACTTTTCAAGGCAGGGTAATACCACACCTGCTCCTCCTCCTCCTCCTTGAGGTATCATCCATTCAACCAGAGACTTCATTTTCACCAGAGACAATCTTTCTAGTGCTGGAAATATTGGACCCATATCACTTCCACCACTACTATAAAACTCCACACCTATAACTTCCACACCATTCATTCTTTCTATCTCAACAATTTTCAGATGAGAAAGATGTCCTAATCTTGGAAGTTGTTTACACTTATTGCAGCCTCCCAATTTCAACACGTCCAAATTATGGACTTCTGGATTCAAAAGCCATGGTATGTACAGGCTAGCTAGTTGAGGACTTGTATGTACAGGCAGGACTCCAAGGCTAATTGCATCATGATTAAGCTCATATAAGGACTCATTTATCCTTTTAAATTTTAAACCCATTCTCAGACGAAATACAATGGGGTTGGGAAGGGAGAAGAAGCTGCGTACCTTCCATGTGACGCTGTTTTGAATCTCTACCTTCCGTCGAATTTCGTAATCAAACTCATCTAGTGCATCTTCGGCACCATAAGCTACATCTCGAAGCTTCTCCAACCAACGCCTCACGAACTCATCTGTAGCCTGTCTTCTTTCAGCATATTGTAACATTGCCTCAATCATGATCAATGGTTCCTTCAGCTTTTCCAACGTTTCCTCGAATCCCCATATACGACTGTTTTCTCGAGCAGTAAGCGAACCGACCCTCTTCAGTATCTCCCCCGTTGCGAATGAAAGGGCTAACTCAGCCATATTTTCGTTCTGGTAAGTATTGAGAAGAGAGAAATGGTTTGAAAGTTTTGGAAATAATAGAGGTAAAATGAATTTGTAGTTAGGTTTGTGCACAAAAACCTGAAGAAATGTTTTTTATGTAAAGAAAGCTTCTTTTTCAAAGTTGCGGAAATAAAATTAATCAGATGATATATAGCAGAAGACTATTTTAACTTCCACAATAATGAATTGTTCTAAAAGAGAGAAAATAAACCACAAATTAATATGACCTACCTTCTTTGCCAATCTAACAACAAATATATAGAAATATTTTATTTTTTTCAACTCACTCATGATCCAAGCAAATCATTTAACCTTCCCACCCACCGACGCAATAAACGTCAGTAGATAGTATTGATAAATTTATCTTGAGATCCTTTCAACTTTTGACCCACTACATGACAGATGTGAATTGGAAGAGCAAAGTGGGCATAGCTTTCCTATGACCTAACATGCCCTGTCCTCACGAGATTAATTAATTATCCATATCAACAAATCTTGGATCAATTAATTATTCATAAGCATTGGCAGATGTGAACTTGATTACTTATTGACCTAACGTGCCCTGTCCTCACGAGATTAATTAATTCTTGATAACTACTTGCTTTACTTTATAATAATAATTTGATAAACAAAAACTCTTCAGATTCCAGAACATAAGCCCTCGGCCTACCCTATCTTTTCCTCGGGTTCTTGGTGGGAATTAAATTTTCCTTCTTTTTCCTTAGAAATTAATCCTGATTTTTTCATGTTTATGTTTAAAAAGCGCCTATCATTACACTTTCCACCGTCCTTTTAAAATCTTACAAGTACACTCGATTTTAACCAAAAGGTCAAAGTTGTGATCGGCTGTCTTAAATTATAAATAAATAATTCTCCATTATGATCTGCTCTTAAAATTCTCAGCTTCATTTCTGATTTGTGTAGATGATAACATGCAAAAGTCATGATTAGAACAGATATCATTTGAAAATAATTCGCGTCTTAATAGATCAACTCTAGTGGATATGATCTAGCTTGTCAAAGATTTTGGTAAGCTTGTCTAATCTTAAAGTCTTTTGAAGTTTCTGGCCTGTCTAAATTATTTTGCCCTTTCTCTTTTTTATATAATAAATATCTAAATTTTTCTTGTATTAAAATTTTTTATGACAAATACTTATGATAAGTTCATACCTGTTGATATATACTGTAATATTTGACAACTAAAGTATCTCCAGGGCTCCATGTTATAATCAATTTCATTACTCAAGGAACCCGGCAAGCTGTTCTCTACTCCACCAAAGCGGACCTAAAATTTAAAGAGGTTTCTTGTAATTTGCTGTTTCCATACATATTATCTTTGAACTACTTGTTTGATAGCCCATCTCATCTTGTTCTATCCAGTTTTAAATAGGGAAAATAATTTGTCGAGTTCTGATATGTTTAATTAATTAAACCTCAGCTCTCCCATTTCAAGATTCCAAGCTCCCCAAATCCCAGTAATGACTCTTCTTGAAAGCATCCGTGGACAAATTCTACATTTACATTTCAATAACCTTAGGCAAATATTAACCCTTGAACTCTTATCTGCCCATTTCAGACTTCTTTCCAATGATTAAGGGTATTGGATCTAAAGGGATGGAGAAGCAGTTGACTGAAATGCAGACGAAGAGAGATGGTTTTGTGCAGAATTGCGGAAGAGCATAGTAAAAGATCAGAGATTGACGGTTCTTTCAAAGGGGAAGAAAGGAAGGAAGAAACACAAAAGTGATGACTGCATCACTAAAGACGAAATAGTCACATATCTAAAGTAAAACTGAGCCACAATTTAAGTCATTAAGTCGTGAAATTATTCTCAATTTTTTGAAGTTCCGGATTAAATTTGATTCTGAAAATTATGTGATTTTTCAAGCAATTATTAAATTTAATAGTAACATATTATCAACTTTTTTCCTTTTTCCACTCACTCATGATCCAAGCAAATCATTTAACATTTTTTTCCCCATAAACATCAGTAGATAGTAGTGATAAATTTATCTTGAGATCCTTTCAACTTTCGACCCACCACATGACAGACGTGAATTGAAGAGCAAAGTGGATACAGCTTTCCTTTGACCCACCATAGTCGTCCTTACTTTGTCTGAAGATATGCTTTTTATGCTTTCCTTTATGTAAAGAAAGATTCTTTTCTATCCATCAATGGTGTCTTGCTATCATTGATTGCTCTCACTGGTTAGCTTGGGTGAACAAAAGAAAAGAAGATCATTAGGTAACCATTGGCTACTGATGAATTGATGAGTCACAGTGGTAGTAGAGCATAGTAAGTATCCAAGTAAAAAACGGTTTCAAACAGCAGCAGCAAATCCTTCATCAAACAGGATGCTTCTTTATAAGGAAGTAGTCAGAATAGTAAGCCAAGGTTGAATAATGATTAGCTGCTACAAAGAGCGGGATCCATTCCTCTTCTCCATGAATTCCCTATTAGAAATAACACTATCTGCGACGCCGAGACCACGCTGGTTAATGAAATCCCCAGCTCTGCTACAATCTCTGAAGCAGAATTATGCCTGCAGAGAAAAAGAAATCATATCGTTGAGCATACCTAAGCTGTATGTCACCAAAAACTCAACTAGAAAACATATCAAGTCGTATTTTTTAGCTAACTTTAGTAACATTTTGAATTAGAAACTTACCAATGGATGACTTCCGTTAAGTCCCACAACAGGAACTCCTGCTTCAGCAAAACTTGAAGGCATTTCAGGTATCTCCACCTGCAAAAACCCAAAGTGTAATTCAAAGCAGTGAGAGCCCCAATCCACGAAAACAGATCCTTAAGATGTAGCTTTGTTTTTAACCACTCCATTGGTGTAATTTGCTCACATTCTGAATTTGAATCCATCCAACAAGAAAGTTTTGGTCCTACGAGATAAAAGATGGTGTAGGAAGGTTGAAGTGGATGATAGCGGGTGATGGTCTGCCTTGATATCAGGCATTAGGTGTTCAACTTGCCTGGAAACTGTCTTTTTGCTTGTTTAGTTAATTTCCAGTGTTTCAGAGATTAAAGATATTGTAGGAAGTCAACAGAAAGTCCTCAACAAGCCACTACGCAACAGCCTAATAGCAAATCTCAATAATTCCACATGCAAGTTTAATCTTGCTCAACTGATGGGATGGGAGGAACAAAGGGGATGGATGAGATACTCTTGTGCTTTAGTCCAATTGTCCAGAGTGTAATGGGTCTCAAAGAGCAACAAATCACAGTACAACGGCTTGTTCAGATCAATTTCAAAACATTAATTTTTAGGAAAATAAGTTCATATATGCTAATAAGTGATAACTAAGGCATGGAAAAACCATCTCAAGACAAATAATACTGCAGCAGGGTAGAGAATAAAGAGAGATTATTGCTCAAAACAGAGTTACAGGGTGAGAAATAAAAGACTTTCCATAATGAGCCTCTGAGACAAGGAGGAGGAGAATACCAGTAACAAAGACAAAGCTGCAATTCAGGCTAAGAGAGGCCTAAGGCAGTGAAACATCTGCCTCTCTTTAAGTGCTTTGAAGTTGGAACCATCCAACAAGAAAGATTAGATATTTCAATTTGCACACACCCTTTTGTTCCTACAAGACAAAAAGAACATTAGATGAAAGGGAAAAGAAATTTAGTAACTTTAGTATGGGTTGTATTATTGTGAAGCAAGAACAAGCCAAAGCATTGCTTCATGAATTCCATTGACAGAGCACTCAAACTATCTACGTCATGACACTGATAAAATAAAACGCTAGTGGGAAGTGAATTACACAGAAACTTTAGGTGAAGTAGCAATCATAAGGAAAATTATTTATAATTGCAAGTGAGAACTTTAGTTAGTAGACAGTCATATGCTATCTTGACAGAATCCTTGCAAAAATTAACAAAATTAAGATGATTGTATGTGCAGCTGGAGACATGTAATGACACCATCACCTTGTGCATTCAGACAAGCAAAAAAGTATGAGAGACAGAAAGAACAATGATAGAGCAGACAATCACACCATTCCCTCATTCGCCCCTGAAATAATGTATACAAACAAGCATTTATCCCATGGATAACTAACCTTCTCAATGCAGCTAAAAAACCAACAGAATCCTAAACAACAATTAAAAAAGGTCAAAATTTTGAAATATATTTTAGAAATCTAACACTACCTGTGATGCCAACTTCTCAGTGAGTCAGTGGAATCCCCAGCTCTGCTCCAATTCCTGAAGCAGAGTGATGCGTTTCTTTTTCATTTTGAGAAATCCGGAAAGCAAGGTTGGCAAACTGAAGGGGAAATGGAAAGCAAGAATGTTTCAATTTGGGAAAGGAAAAGTTGTAACTAGAAGACACATTACATTTTGAATAAGAAACTTACAAGTGGATCACCTCCTTTCAGTCTCACAACACTAACTCCTGCTTCAGCAAAACTCAAAAGCATTTCATCTATCTCCTCCTGCAAAAACCCCGTGGTGGACTAATGAGCATAGCTCTGCATTTATGAACGATAACATTAAATAATAGTTGAACGAACTTAACAAGACTTTTCACCCATAACCTTTTCCCAAACTCACCTTTTCGAAAGCATGTAAATTTCTGGCCTGGCTCTTTCAGCTAACCCATGACCAAAGCTGCCCTCGCTTTATCTAGTCCTCTACATTAGATTCTTACCTTTGTCCTTTTTTGTTTGGTTAGTAACCCATCTGAATAAGAAAACGCCTTCTGGCTTCAGAATACTAGGTAGTGCAGGAAAGTAGAACATGTAAAAGGCAGATTGATTTTATAATCTCTGCATATGAGCTTATGCTTAGCAAAATAAGTCTCACTACTGAATTGAAACAAAAGTAAATAGAAGTCTTCAAAATTAGTTTAAATCATTGAAGTGTTTCCTCACAAAATTAGGATGAATGGACAATGCCTTCAAGATACTTGCCCCTTACTGCAGTTAGCTAGCTCCTTGCTTGTGACTCAAAATGGAAAAGAAAAGCTAATAAGAAGTAGTATTTACCTCAAAGAGAACTTACTAATTGAAGTAACTTTCTAGGTGCATATTTACCTCAAGGACCATCTTCCACCATTGCTCTACCCGTGGCTTCCAAATTGTATAACCTTAATGAAACAAAGGACCGCCGACAAAATTAGCAATGCAATTCATACAAAAAAGTTCAGTAACTGGTATAACTATTGCACATCTTAGAAAAAATGAGACCTACCAGAACATCCTCAGTTGATAAAACTCTTTGAAGGCAGAGACATTTCTTTAGAATTTTAGAGAGAAGCACAAATTGAAGGTATCTTGATGGATTGCTTCTCCTGCCAGGACTTAAAATCAGGAGAAGCATCAACCCAGAGAAAAAGTCTACTATGCTTATGGGATTGCATTGAAACTCACTAGTGGCTCACCTCCTTTAAGTCTCAAAACAGTAGCTCAGCTTCAGAAAAACTCGAGCAGTTTCTGTATCTCCTTCTGCAAGAAACCCAATGCCAGGCTAATGAGCAGAGTTTGCACAGCTAAATAGAATCAAATTCCAATTACAGCTAGCATTCTGAAAACATACTGCCTCACACTGCAGTTAGTTCCTTGCCTGCGATTGATTCAAAATGAAAAAGAAATTAAAGCTAGTTAGAAAATAAACTGAAACATAAAAGAAGTAATCATAACCTCAAAGAGAACTAATCCACATCCTCAAATGATACTAGTAATGATTGCTTTGGGTTTGTTGACAGAGGAAATGACAGGTGGCCTACCAATGACTAGACAGAGCTAAAAGATGGAAGGCAAGGAAGAGAGATTATAAATACCAGAAATGTGAATTCCACCTTTCCACAGTCACCAAATCAATTGTATAGTTTACAGTGACAGACATTAACAGAGCCTTGCCTGCAAAATAGTAAATGACGATTATGACCAGGATCACTTTTATTGAAACTTCAAGTTCTGTAATCGGGCTCCTGCACTCAACTTTCCTAGTATGATCATACTTACCTTGCATTGCTGGAGAGTGGTCCTTAGCTCAAATGCAGCATCTGGTGTGATATATATGCTGGCAGACTATGAATCCACAGCAGTGATAAGAGAAAGCATACTACCATTCTTCCAAGATCATAAATCATAAAATAAGTGTTTATGTTCTCAAGGAAAATATTGCAAAATGCATACATCTTGAGCGAGCAGGAAATTCAGTTTGCTATTGAAATCAAGTGCAGGACACCGACATGGAGACTGCACTGTTTCTTCATCTCTATTCAAGATCATGCCAGACTGCCGATTCCTTCAAAAGAAAAAGAAGCTATTGCAAAGACATACCTTTAGTGAGGAGGACACTCTTGTATGTCATTTGATTACCAGGAATGAAAGCTTCGAAATAAAAATATAAGAATTGGAACGAAAATTAGAGAATCGGAATGATATTTATATTTTTATATTGTGTTTGGAATAATAATAAAGAATCATAATGCAATTTAAATTTTTTAATATCTGATTTTTTAAACAAATAAAAATAATAATTAAAAAATAACTTTATCAAACTATAATGATTATAAAAATAATAAAGATGGTGATAGTTGTAATGATAGTAGTAGTAGAGGAGGTGGTTATGATGGTGGTGGTAGTACTGGTGGTAATGATGGTTTTAGTGGTGGTGGTAGTAGTGGTAGTAAAAATAATTAATAGATAATAAATAAATAAAATATATTATTATTTTGAAAAAAAACTTCATTCTCATTTTTTGTTTTTTATTTTCACATTTTAAATGTGAATGAAGTTATGTATAACTTTCATTCTCATTCTCATTTTTATTTTTCATTATCATTTCCACTTCATTCCTTTTACCAAAACAATTATAATGTGAGAGTAAAACTTTCATTTTCATTTTCATCACTCTATATCTAATTACGAAACAACACCTAAGAGAAGTGAGGTATTGACGTTGATGTGGTATGCTTTAGTTTATTCCATCCCATTATTAGCATAAAAAAAGTCTTATTCCCATTCTGCCTTGCCAAGGTGGACTCGATTGCAAACAAAAACACTTTAGTATTCAAATTGAAAAAAATTAAAATTCGGATATCAGATTGACCGAAAGCTCATAGTTCATACCAACCAATGACCTTATGATATCAGCTTAAGAAAGATACATAACATGACATTTCCTTGATTCCTTTCACCTTCAATTCTAAATACTCTAAAGCCTGCTTGTGTTTTCTTGTCAAGGTACCTACGAAAACAAAATGGACGAGGTTGTTGTTAGCTTTGCCGTCGAGAAGATGTTGAGCATGGTGAGTTCAGTTGCCAATGAAGGGATCAGTTTTGTTTGGGGATTCAAAGGAGAGCTTAAGCAGCTGGAGAAATCATTAAACACGATTCATATGGTAATAATGGGACCCACTCAAGTGCTGGATTAATAACAAACAAGTTGGAGTCTCTATGTTTCTCTCTCTAATTTTCTCAAGAAACAAACAGCAAGAATCTATCAACATTACTTTACAGTAACAAGCAGATGCCTGAAAGGTGGAAAGAAGTACAGAACGCTACCCTATCACTCATGACAAATTCACTAATCAAGTGTAAAGAACTATAGGTTTTTGATCTATCTGAAAACATTGCATGAAGCTTGCTTGGTTATTGCCAAACAAACCTACTCTATGCTTTCCTTTTTCACGGCACCAATGCCCGAAGCACAAATCTCTCTTCAATTCCATTTCAATTCAGAAGTCTGGTTCAATTTTACAAAGAAAAAACTGTCATTTTTAAGATTTTCACCATTTTTGAACATTGTCTAAAATCTATTGGAAACACTTGGGATAATATCCTAAAGATTGTATGCTCCACAAAACAAAATTGGCCTATAAAGACTTTTGGATTTTTAACAAAATCTTTATAATTTTTATAAGGTGGTAATTATTTATGTGTGAGACGGGATCACTACAAGATAATCAACATAATAACATTTAAGAATGTTTAGTTACAACAAAAATGTGGCCAAAATGCTGAATGCTGCCAAAATGCTGAATGCTGCCAAAATTCCAGACAGATCAGTAAATCTATGTGAGATGGTTATGAGCAGAAATAATGGATAAACAACAATCACACAAGTGCACACGATATTTTACGTGGTTCGGTATTTAGAACCTAATCCACGGGCGAGGACGATCGAGGAATTTCACTATGAAAAAATGGTCGGATATTACAAAAGGTCTCTCAAATTTCACTCACCCAATTCCCAAATGAACCCAGAACCTCACTTAAGAGTATCACAAAAATCTCACAGCACAAAGAGTAAGCTCCTCAATTAAACTCTCTGTTTTGGTTCTGAGATACACGATATGCCTTTCATATGCAAAGAACTGCACCATATATATAGTGCCAGAAAAGGGACAAAAGGCTTAAATTTTTCGCCCACCAGTGCTGCTTTTTAGGATCAAAGGCAATTACCATGTGAAAACTTTTCTTTCTTTGACAAACTGTACCAACCAATTTTAGCTTTCACCTTCTCTTCATGCATTTGATAGTTGCAGCTTTCCTTTGCTCCTAGCATGCATCTAGGACTTTAGGACTCATGTAGAAGCAAACCAAGTGTCAAGGCCACCAACTTCAAGCATTTATTGCAGCATTCTACAAAATTCGGGAAACACTTTTCAACACTGATAGGGCAACAACCTTCCCTGATGATGACCAGTGTTGGCGAAACTAAATCTGCTAATGCAACTTTATCTGCATGATCCTTCAGTTCTGCAAAGACCTGTGATTGTAAATGCAACTATTATCAATTCAAAGCAATGAGGTCATTTCTACTGGGCAAGCTTCTTGTGCATGTGAAGGGTGAACGCTACTACACCAAAAAGTTAAAAGCATAAAATCTTCAGCCTTCAAGAATTCTGTGATACGATTTTACAATGTGAAGGAAATAAATAATGGTGTTTCAATTCTGTTTCTGATTTCCTGCAACGTGCTTCCATTTCATGATTATCAAATCATACTCACCAAGTGCTGCTGGAGTGTATTCCCTCCCTCAAATTCAGCAGCTGGCATATTTGCTTGTAGACCATTTTGCATCAACTTCAATGCAAGGGAGTAGAGGTTTGACAAGCTCCCATATAAACTACCAAGGTTGAATCAGGATCAGGTGCATTTTCCGCTACAAAGAGGGATCTCATTCCTCCTTTCATTGAATTCACTGTTCGAAATCTAACACTACTGACAGTACCTCAGTGAGGTAATGGAATCTCCAGCTCTGCTACAACCCCTGAAGCAGAAATGAGCAGAGCAATCACACTGCCATCCATAATTTGATCAGAAAAGCATCAGGCTTGAAGAAGAACTGCAAGGTTGGCAACTAAAGGGGAAAAAGAATGCAAAATTGTTCTCCTAGGAGACATGCAGAATCATACCAGGAATAACTTTAACTTGAATGACTTGCTGTTGATTAAAAATCCATTTCCTTGTTATCCCTTCCCAATACCTTTGGAATACAATGATATATGTCACTAAAACCTTTCGGTTTTTGGTTTAAACATAACCCAAAATCTAAAAACCAAACTGAAAAGTTTCACAAATACGTACCTTTAGTGAGCAGCACAATCAGTTTTCTATCTTGTGTGTTGTTGTGCATTGCTTTTCATGTTCTATTGGATCAAACATCAGGTCTGTATACAGGTCCATGCTGCAACTAACACCTTTGCCTGTGATTCAAAATGGAAAAGAAAAGCCAGTAATTAAGAAAATAAACTGATCAATATCTAAACATCCTAGTGCTAGAAAAGAATTCTATGTTTCCTTGATGATCCACCTTATCAAATCGGCCGTGTATATCTTTGTTTATCTTCTTGATCCATCGAGAAGAGAAAATTTTCGTTGGAAAATGCTTATCTAAAATCATCTTGCATCTTTCACTCTCCTAAGCTAATGTTACAATCCTGAATTCATTTTACATACAAGAAGCTACAAAGTATACATCTGGTTACTTATTTACCTCATAAGTATTATCATAGAGGAACATCTTCCGCCTTTTACTCTACCAGCTGCTTCCAAACTCAATAGCGCAACCTTATTGAAGCCATCAAATAGGTGGAGAATACTAATTGTGCAAGCAAATCAATGAAATGGAAAAGAAATTCAATTCGATTAGATAAGTAAATACATGCGAGAGGAGAAATCTCGGGACTGAGGGATTAGATCGAGAAATTCAAACTTACCTCTCTGTATTCTGAAAAATAGGGACGACGAATGTTAATTGAGATATGTGAAATCTTGGGCCACTCTGACCCACTGCCCTTGGCGCAATTTTGCCCTAGAAGCTGAGCTCCAGAACCAATTTCCAGATAAGTTAATTTGGAGAGGCGTTGCATGGCTGTTGAACTTGGTAGATACTTCAGATTTGGACACTGACCAATAGAAAGCTGTTGAAGAGAAGAAAGGTTTCCCAACCAGAAATTTCTTTCCATAGAATTCCTTAATCTCCAATTTCTTAAGGTAAGTGAGGTGTTGAAGTTGATGTGGTATGCTCTTAAGTTTAAACCATCCAATTATTTGTAGGTCTTCAAGGGACCCACTCAAGTGTTGGATTGAATTCATACCAGGAAGCGCCTCCAATTCCTTTGAGCAAGGACCAATTTTCAATTGCTTCAATTGGGGGGCTGCAAGAGGAATCCTCCAGAAGATAGCTCAAACTCCAACAGCTGTTGATTTGTAATCCAACAAGAGAATGCAATCTTCTCCTTCCAACAGAAGGAAGAGACGTGAGCTTATCACAACGACTAATTTGTAATGATTGAAGACGAGAAGATGGCACCAATTCTCCTCCTCCAAATACATCATCATCATCATCATTATACTCGAACAAGAAGGCAAACTCCACACAGTCTTTGATTATCAATTCCTCTAGAGATGGGCCGGATAGTAGCCTCCTAATTGGAAGACTATTTGTTATTCTATCACAAGACCAAATGCTTACTCTTTTAAGAGATTGCAATTCTCGAAATCACCGCCAATACTAATAGACACAAACTTATTTAAAAAGGAAATATTCAATTCCTCCAGAGCTGTGCAATGTTGTAGGCTTGGAATGGCTGCCAGATTACCGCACTTACAAAAGCTTAAATATTTAAGAGATGATGGCAGAAACAGGACAAAGGGCTTAAATTTTTCACCCACAAGTGCTGACACTTTTAGGACCAAAGACAATTACCACGCGAAATGCTATTCTTTGACAAATTGAACCAACCAATTTCAGCTTTCACCTTCGCTTCATGCATTTGATAGTTGCAGCATGCCTTTGTTCCTAGCATGAATCTTGGTGTTTAAGACTCATGTGGAAGCAAGCGAAGTGTCAAGGCCACCAACTTCAAGCATTTAGTGCAGTCTTCAACAACATCCTTCCCAACGATGACCAGCGTTGCCGAAACTAAGTCTACCAATGCAACTTTATCTGTAGGGTCCTTCAGTTCTGAAAGACCTGTACGATTGCAAATGCAACTCTTATCAGTTCAAAGCAATGTGGTCACTTCTAATCGGCAAGCTTCTTGTGCATGTATAGATCCTTGAAAAAAATGAAGTGACATCAAAACCATTCTGTTCTATTCTTTTTACAAATTATGTGAAGGAAATGAAAATTGGTGTTTCAGCTTTGTTTCTGGTTTCTGCAAGGTGCTTCCAATTCATGATTATCAAATCATACTCACCAAGTGGTGCTGGGGTGTAGCCGCATGTTCAAGCTGCTGGCGTATTTGCTCATAGACCATTTTGCATCAACTTCAATGCAAGGGAGTGAAGGGTTGACATTTGACAAGGTAGCCCATGTAAACTAGCAAGGTTGAATCAGGATCAGCTGTATTTTCTGCTACAAAGAGGGCATCTGTTCCTCCTTTGATTGAATTCCCTGTTTGGAATCTAACACTACTGGCTGTACCTCGTTGAGGTAATGGAATCTCCAGCTCTGCTGCAACCAATCACACTGCCATCCATACAGTGATAAAAAAAGCATCAGGCTTGAAGAAGAACTGCAAAGTTGGCAACTATAGGGGAAAAAGAATGCAAACTTATTCTATCAGGAGATGAGCAAAACCATGCAAGGAATAACATTAACCTGAATTTTTTGCTGTTGAAGAAAATCCATTTCCTCGTTACCCCTTCCAAACCTTTGGAACACAATGATATATGCCACCAAAAACGCAATTAGAAAGCACATAACATTATTGCATTCATTAGGTAACTTCTTAAATAAAGAACCCACCAGCAGATCGCCTCCTCTAAGACTCACGTCAGAAGCAACACTTCAGAAAATTTCAGGAGCAGTTCATGTATCTCCTCCAGCGAAAAACCCCATGCCAAATTAATGAGCAAACTCGAACGAATTCAGGAAGAGTGTTCCCTATTTACCTTTTCCAAACTCACATTTTCCGAAAATGGCACCCTGATTTTTGGGCCTCTTTTGCATCTAGGCCTCGCCTGCTTCTTTCAACTAATCCATGGCCAACAGCTTCTCTATCTCTATCCAGTCCGAGTCTGCTACATTAGAGTTAATCTTCACTTTGTCCTCAATGGCCGCAAATGCTTTCACTTGCTTGGATAGTAACTCCATCTAAATAGTATGGCACCTCATGGCTTTAGAATTTGTCGGACCATGATAGACACTGAAGTAGGACAGAACCCCAATTCCAAAAACCCAAGAATCAGTACACCACCCTTGAAATCATATGTACAAACAAGCATTTATCACTTGGGTAACCAAGATTATAAATCCAGCTAAACAATCAATTGCAAAATTCAAAACATATTTGACATGAAAGTGACCCACATGGGAATTTCAGCTAAAATCAATGAACATTGAACAGATAACAAAAACAAATAAAAGCGATTAATCTCACTGCTTTCAATGTCAAAAGCTCAGGATCACCTGGTCCCATCCTCACCAAGAACACAGTTCCTGCCCACACTTCTTTCCATCACCATCATTACAACAATAAAACTGCCTCTCTCTTCTCAAAGCACATGAAGCAATTTTCTTCGACTCTGGGAGCTTTAAAGCTATGTGGTTTGGCCTGATACGCTCTGATGGCAGAGAGCTTGATTTTCTTGAAGAAGATTCCCATAGTTAGTTCCCATAGAGCCACTGGTTTCCTTGGCATCTCTCCATTGAATATTTCTCTGTAAAAGCTTTTTTTTTTTTTTAATTATTATTGTTAAGAGCTGAAGTAGTAAAAGTGCCAAATCCCTTATAATACAGAAATGCCAAATAATATTTTACTACACTTTCTGAAGATTGAAGTAACTTGGTGCATATTTACCTTACAGAGTATTGCCATAAAGGACCATCTTCCACCATTTTCTCTAACCATGGGTTCAAAACTACTCCATACAACCTTTATTGAAAGAAAGGACCACGGGTATTGTTAGCAATGCAATTAATACAGCAACGTTCAATAACTGTTAGAACTAATCCACATCCTCAAATGATACTAGTAATGATTGCTTGCAGTTTGTTAACAGAGGAAACGATAAGTGGCTTGCAGAGACCTACCAAAACATCCACAGATAATTAAACTTTTGTGGAGGTGGAGATGTTTCCTTAAAATTCCAGGACTTCAAATAAGGTGAAACATCAACTCTGTCTGGGAAAAAATCTAGTACACTTATCGGATTCAAAGTATGTGTCTCCTGAAAATACAGTAGTAGTCATAATCATCACGTAAAAAATAACCATAACTACTGAGAAGATGGATTTTCAAAGAAAGATGCAAATAACCTGTAGAGTCAGACGTCAAAGCAATGGAGGATGGGGTTGTACTCTGTAGAGCTTGAACGCCTTGACTTCATTGCACTGGATCTTCATTTAAAATTTCTGCTAAAGAGATGGGGTTGTACTCCGTAGAGCATGAACGCCTTTACTTCATTGCACTGGATCTTCAGTTACCATTTCTGCTAAAGATTAAACCCGCCAAAAATAAAAATTCTGATAAACAGAAAAATGAAAAAAAAAAAACATGGTTCTGTCCGTATAAATCTAAAGTTTGAAGAGAAAACCCACCAGAGGAAATTGACAGTCAGATTGTGACCCACCCACACACCTTTGCTATTTATTTAACTGTAGGGGTTGTCCTACAAAATTAGTTGTGCAAGCAATTAATGAATCCAATGGAAAGAAAGAAAGAAAGGCAATTAAATTTTACATAAAGAAATTAACATAATTGGAGACAGATAGATCGATTTGAGAAATTCAAACTTACAGGTAAATAAATTTGGGATATGAGAAATCTTGGGCCACTCAGAGCCACGACCCTTGGCGCAATTTTGCCGAAGAAGCGGAGTTCCAATACCAATTTCCAGAGTTGTTAATTTGGAGAGGCGTTGCATGGCTATTGAACTTGGTAGATACTTCATATTTGGACACGGACCAATAGAAAGGTTTTCAAGAGAAGAAAGGTTTCCCAACCAATCTGGCAATGCTTCCTCAAATTCCTCTCCATTGAAACACCTTATCTCCAATTTCTTAAGAGAAGTGAGGTGTTGCAGTTCATGTGGTATGCTCTTCAGTTTTTCCCATCCTATAATTGCTAGCTCTTCAAGAGACCCACTCAAGTGTTGGATTGAATTCATGCCAGGAAACGCCTCCAAATCCTCTGAGAAACCACCAATTCTCAACTCCTTCAATTGGGTGAGGCAGCAAAAGAAATCCTTCGGAAGATACCTCAGACTCCGACACTCATAGATTTTTAATCGAACAAGAGAATGCAATCTTCTTCTGTATAAACCATCAGGAACATACGTGAGCATATCACACCCTTGAATTTGCAATGATTGAAGACGAGAAGATGGCACCAATTCTCCTCCTCCAAATACATCATCATCATCATCCTCAAACAAGAAGATACAATCCACAGAGTGTTTGATTATCAATTCCTCTAGAGATGGGCAGGATAGTAACCTCCTCATTGGAAGACTAGTTATTCCTTTACCAGCCCAAATGCTTACTCTTTTAAGAGATTGCAATTCACCACCAAGACCAGTAGACACCAACTTAGGGCACCAATCAATATACAATTCCTCCAGAGTTGTGCATTGTTGTAGACTTGGTACGGATGCCAGATTATAGCAATCACTGATGCTTAAATATTTCAGAGATGATGGCGGGGAGGTACGAAATTTGCCAGATAAATGACTCAACGATCTGCAAAAACTGATATCCACTTTTATAAGTTTTGATGAAAGATGAGTCATTGATGGAATGCTTTTCAACTTCCCACACTCCTTAATGTACAAATCTTCAAGGCAAGGAAATACTACTTGGACTCCATCAGCCGCAGCAGCAGGTACCGTCCATTCCTCTGGAAACTGCATCTCCGCTAGAGACTCCATTTTCACTAGAGACAATCTTTTAAGTGCTGGAAATATTGGATCCATACCACTTCCGCCATTCGTGTTGAGATAAAAATCCTTACCTATAACTTCCACACCATTCATTCCTTTTATCTCAACAATTTTAAGATGAGAAAGATGTCCTAATGTTGGGAGTTTTTTGCACTCATTGCAGCCTTCTAATTTCAACACCACCAAATTATGGACTGCTGGAATCAAAAGCCATGGTGGGAATGAGTCACCTCCATAATTCTCAATCTTTAAGCTTCTTATGTTTGGATGAGGCTGGAGACCTTCCAATACATCCTCGTCATTCATGTTGCAGCTGCTGCTTCCTCTAAATGAACTCCATTCCAGTACCAATGCGTTAATCTTTGCTTTTCCGCACAGGTTTGCTCCCTTGGCTTCTTCTTTGTCTCTCACATACTCCAAATTGCGTATTCTGAACTCCCCTCCTAGTTCCTTCAAGCACCGCAGCTCTTCAATTTTGTGACCTTTATCTGGACCCACTTCAAAGAATGGCAATGTTCGTAGGCCAATTAAGCAGCCGACATTAGATGGTGTATCTGTAAAATCAATATGTCTCAAGCTCACCAAATGTCTCATTTTTTTGGGAAGCTTTGTGAGGGAGCCGCAATCACTAAATCTTAAGGTCTGCAAATGGTAGAGCTTCGAGATGGATTCTGGAAACGCTTTTATATCTGTATCTGAAACATCCAGATATCTTAAATGTTTCAGCCTGCAAATTGAACCTGGCAGATCTTCAATATCAGCTCCACACAAGTTTAGAGTTCGCAAGCCTTTGAATTTCCAAGACTTGTTGAGGACATTGACCCTTGAGAATAACGTATGCAACTGTCTAACACCTACTTTTCGAAATTCTGATTCGTCTCCGTCGTAACAAATGACATTTATATGCCGAATACGAAAGGTACCGTCTAAAGCTGAACCAGCCTCCAAAATCATCGTCTCTTGTTTTGACACCGACAAAGCAAGATCGTGCACAAGGTCGTGCATCTTACAAACCGTTATATTCTCAAGCTCATTCATTCGGACATCTTGAAAAAAAGAAAGTGCTAGCAGTTCATTAAAATACCTGGCACCTATTTCTTCCATATCTTCCTTTCCTTCACGAGGTGGCCTAAGTAACCCTTCCGCCATCCATAGCTGAATCAGTTGCTTCTTTTCAATCTCAAAATCTTTAGGAAAAATGGAACAATAAGCGAAACAGCGTTGCAGAGACGGTGAAGACAAGTGATCGAAACTTAATTTCAATATAGGAAAAATTCCATCATCTCTTGACGCGTCAAAAGCATCACTGTTTGTTATTGATAGCCATTTTTCCCTCTCCGTCTCAGAATGCAGCATTCCACCTAAAACTCTAGCAGCTAATGGCACTCCTCCACACTTCTTTGCAACATCAATTCCGATAGCCTCCAATTCTGCAGGAATCGGCTCCACTCCATTGCTCGTCACTATTTTCTTAATAATTGACCAACATCCATCATCTGATAATTTTTCTGGTTCATGCCTATATCCAAGAGAACTCTCCATTATAGATGAGGCTCGTCCACTACGAGTCGTAACAATAACAGCATTCCCATCATTGCTACTAATTTTTAACAAACGATCCTTTAGACTCTCCCACTTTCCAGGTTCTTCATTCCACACATCATCAAGTATGAGAAGATATTTTTTCGTCTCCAACGCTTTTTGAAGATGTGTCATTATCACATTTATTTCATCTATCGTACCTGTGTTTCTATCCAGTGTTTGCAGCATTCCTCCTAAAATCCTTTTATCCTCAAAACTATCAGAAACACAAATCCAAAATGTTACATCAAAGAGTTCTCTATTTTTTACTTCTTGATGCACCATTTTTGCTAGAGTGGTCTTTCCAAGCCCGCCCATTCCCACTATAGGGATGACAGAAAGATCATGTTGGTTGCAAGAGCTAATCAACAAGTTAATAATTTTAGAGACATCACCATCCCTTCCTATGACAACCTCTGAGCTACCGAGGAAAGAATCAGTCTGTCGGTTCGGCCTAGGTTGAGGACTTGTATGTACAGGCAGGACTCCAAGTTTAATTGCATCTTTATTAAGCTCATCTAAGGACTCGTTAATATTTTGAACTTTTAGAGCCATACTCAGACGAAATGGAATGGGGTTGGAGAGGGAGAAGAAGTTGCGTACCTTCCCTTTGAGACTGTTTTGAATCTCTACCTTCTGTCGAAGAATTTCGTAATCAAACTCATCTAGTACATCTTCAGCATCATAAGCTACATCTCGAAGCTTCTCCAACCAACGCCTCACGAACTCATCTGTGACCTGTCTTTTTTCAGCATCTTGTAACATTGCCTGAATCATGATCAATGATTCCTTCAGCTTTTCCAACTTTCCCTTGAATCCCCATGCAAGATTGATTCCTTGAGCAGCAAGCGAACCGACCCTCTTCAGTAGCTCCTCCGTTGCGAATGAAAGGACTAACTCAGCCATATTTTCGTTGTGGTAAGTATTGAGAAGAGAGAAATGGTTTGAAAGTTTTGGAAATAATAGAGGTAAAATGGATCTGTTGCTAGGTTTGTGCATAAAAACAAAATGGAAGAGCAAAGAAGATATAGCTGTTCCTGACCCACCAAGGATAAGAACGTTACACGTCCTTACCCTACCGGAAGAAATGTTTTTTATTCCTTCCTCTGTTTTATGTAAAGAAAGCTTCTTTTTGAAAGTTGTGGAAATAATTGGTTTAATAGCAAACTTTTCTCTTATTCTATGAGGATATGATAATTTTATATCTTTAATTTGAATTTTAAATTATTAATTTTAAGTAAAATTAATTTAATTTTTTTAATTATCGTTATATGTAACGAGTCAAATAGATTTATCGTTATTTGAAATGTCAAAATAATGTGTTAATTATTTTTTTAAAGTAAAAAATATTTTAACGCTCCTAATCTTAAATTTTTTTTTATAAAATATTATAAAACATACATGTAACATTTTATAAATATTTTTAACCCTCTAATTTTGAATTTTTTTATAAAATATTATAAACATTTTATACAAATGTTTTTTTATAATTTATAATTTATAAAATTAAGGGGGTCAAAACTTAATTATGCTCATTTTAATTTTATAAAATGTTAAAATTTATATTATAGACATTTTAATGCTCATTGTATATATGAACCTTTTATAAAAAATGTTGTAAAAAACATAATTAACAATACATAATTTCAAGCTTTTTAAAAAATATTTTATAAATTAAAATGAGCGTAATTAAGGATTGACCTCTCTAATTTTATAAATTATAAATTATTTTAATAAAATATTTACAATATTTTATAAAAAAATTTTATAATAGTTCAAAATTAGGAGGTTAAAAATATTTATAACATATGTTTTTATAAAATTCATAAAATATTTATAATATTTTGCAAGAAAGAAATTTTTTTTAAAAAAATTCAAAATTAAGAGGGTCAAAAATATATTTAAAAAATATAATTAACAGCAAAATATCAAAACAACATCGTTTTGATATTTCAAATAACGGTCAACTCAATTGACCGTTACATATAATGATAATTAGAAAAATTAAATCAATTTTATTTCAAAACTAATAATTTAGAGTTCAAATTATATAATTTAATACCCAAAATAAACATTAATAGATAATAATGATAAATCTATCTTCAGCTCCTTTCAACGGAAGAGCAAACTTTGACCCAGAAAGGATATAAACCATATTCGTCCGTAGACCATCTCAAGAAATGCTTTTTATGTTTTTCTTTATGTAAAGAAAGGTTCTTTTTTATCTATCAATAATGTGTCTTGCTATATATCATTGACTGCATGCTCTCACTGATTAGTGATTAGCTTGGGTTACGCATAGTTCAATTTCGGAAAGGGGAAAAAAAATCATTAGGCAACCACTGGCTACTGATGAATTGATGAGTCACAATAGTAGTAGAGCAATGTCTTGTTTTTTAAGAAATATTTGTGATATTCCTCAATTATTTTTCTAAATTGTTAACCCTATTAAATTTAAAAAATTGGACGGAAAATGGGATTATGAGGAAAAGAAGTTAATTGATTTATTGCACAAGTAATGTTATCCATATCAACAAATCTTGGATTAATTAATTACTGATTACCATTGGCAGATGTGAACTTGATGACTTATTGACCTAACATGCCCTGTCCTCACGAGATTAATTAATTCTTGATAACTACTTACTTTACTTTATAATAATAATTTGATAAACAAAAACTCTTAAGATTCCCAACTTGTGCTTGTCCATGTGCTTGTCCTTGTCCAGTCCACGTACTTGTCCTCTTGGTAATTTTTTTAAGGAAAAAAAAAAGACAAACAAATTGTAATGAAATTTGTTTATTGAACCCTCCGTTGTACAACATCAATAATCTTTTTTTATTAGATTGTAATCAAAGAAATTTCAATCGTTACAATTCGAATATTACATTAATTATCCAAAAAATTATTGGATACACATACTGTTATTCCATTTTTTTAATGGTATGCTACCAAATAAATCAAGAGATGTCCAAGATAATGA